GACTGAGTGTTGTCAGAAACTGATACCAAGGACTGCGACTGCCTGATCTGCTTTTTCCACACACCACACCCGCCAACCAGATTGGTGAGTTTTTCCCCTTTCTGACTCCCACCATTTCCCATGACTGCAGCCTGAGCTATATTCTTCACACCGGATACCCAGGGGGTCCTTGGCTGCATACTATGACACATTCAATCTTGACAAAGTATTGGATGCTGGCTGGGCCCCTGGGGGTACTCCAGTACGTATGCTCAGCCCTTACCCTTGTCGTGACAACAGTTTGGGTAATTTGTGCTGTTAATGCTAGTCCACAGACTGCCTATTCTCAAGGACACTTGAAATAGGAGCCTGGGATTCTGTTTGTTATTTTAATTTTTTATTTTTCTCTCTCGGCACTGCAGCCACGGGACAGGGGCTCCCTTCTCATGGTTCCATTCCTCCTCTGGCAAATGCCTTAAATATCCCCAGATACCAGTAAATTTGGCTGTTTCAACCCCAATATTTCAAGGGAATTATCTAACTCCAGCCAGTGAACAGGCAAATGAAAAGTTACCTTATCCCCAAGCTTACTACCGAAACCCTGAACCCTTCTCCTCCTCCATTCCTGATTCTTTCCCTGCCATGTACAACCACTTCTGTCTGACTTGCTTTCCGCTCTCCGGCATTGGGTGGGCTTTAACTCACCCTAACTCCTCCCACTCATTCTCAAGCTGCCCTAAGAAGCACAGGGTCTGAAAGCAGGCTAGGATCCATGCAAATAAGTTTACAGTAATCAGGATGGCTCTTTAGCCAGAGACCAGTTTACATCCTACCTCCTGGTGGGTCTTCCAAAAGCTGTCCTCAAGCTAGCAGACATCAAAAAAAATCAAGACACAGAGTAAAATCCATCTCTTGTCCCCCAGACCTCCCCAACATAACTTAAAACTTAAGCATCTGGAGAGCAAGGCTCCTGATCCCACAGGCAGAAGTTTCAGCTGTGGCATTTAAGGTATACAAGGAGAGAGAGAAAAAAAGGCCCAAGAACAAAATTGCCAAGTGCTGGCACACACTGGCTCCCAAAAGCCATTGGGTCCCTGTTTAAAGTGTGTGTGGGGGGGAGGCCACACAGGCCAGTGAGTGCCCTGCCAGTTCATCAACTGAGCCTTGTTCAAAGTGCCACCTAGAAAGACAGCCAGTTAGCTGACTGCCTCCAGGCACTAAGGGGCATGGGAGCATCAAGCTAAGACCTCCAGCAGACCTAGGCTTGGCCACAGGCTCACTTCCAGGGAACCAAGAATGCAGCATGGTTTCTTTCTTTCTGGATACCAGAGCCACTCACCCAGTCCTGGGAGTTTTGGGGTCTCACCTCTCATTTCCCTATTTTCAGGGTAGGGGGACAGCCTTACCCACCTCACCAGACTTAATTGCACTTTCAGAGTTACTTAATGGGAAAAGATTTTCCAGCTGAGATAGGAGCTTTCATTTCCTTGCTCCTCCATGTGCCTCACTGCAGACCTGTCAGCAGGGCTTCTCCTCCTCATGCACAGGGACACAGTCAGGGCCCTGATCTCTGCCCTGTCCCTAATTCCACAGAAATAAGTTCTCATGCACCACAAGTTTTTCTCTTCCCAGTTCTTTCCTCTAATTAACTGCTCAGCTAATGGCTGCTTTGGACCACCACAGAACTGGAGTCCAGAGATCATCAAGTAAGAAACTGCAACAGCTAAAAGGTATTTACACCCCCAGACCTAAAAGTGTCTGAGCTCTACAAAAACAGACTTTAATATAACCATCTGTTACTGTTAAATGCTTTCAACAATTGATCACCTGTCTCCTAGATGCCAAACTAGTAAAGGAAACAGGTGCCTTAGAATAATCTGTCTCTGATAAAGCTTATCTCAGGTTATGAGAATTAAAAACAAGTTCCAATCTCTCTGTCTCTCTCATTAACACTAACCAATACAAGCAGAGTACTAAACACTACCATGGTCACTAATTTTCTCATGGCTGCTTCTTAACATGTTCAAAATTTTTCCCAAGCTTCAGAAACTAGCTTAAACCCATCTGGACAGGTCGGATCTACTTCAGGCTTTTTCTGTCTCACCAGCATCCTGTTAGATACAAAAGCAGCCAGAGTGCCAAGCCAAGAGGAATGGACAGCTCCAGGGCAGCAGGACAGCCCATCATCCCAGGATGTCTGTCCACCTCAGAAGGTCCCCCTTCCCTAGCCCCCCGCCCAGAGCAACTGACGCCCACCAAGTCAGCTGTAAGCAGTCTTCCCGGGAGAAACGATGCCCCTATTCCTATTCACTTGCTTTTTTATAATAAACAAAAAATCTGGAACGTTAGGATCCTGCCCTCACTCCTGCACACACGCAGCTCGGGGTCTTGCGTCTTACGTCATCAGCGGGCGCTGGCGATTATGTACCTGCCTTAAAAGGCCGATGCAGACCCCCCTCTCTGTTCCCTCTCTGCTCTCTGCTCTGCTCCCTCCTCCCAGGCCTGGCTCTCCTCTTTCTCCCCCCCCCCCTTCCCTCTTAATAAAGCTCTGGAAACTAGCACTGGGTTCTGTCGTGACCATGACCTTTCCATGAGGTAACAAGACCACCACCAGAACCATTCATCCTATCAGGAACAGCATCAAAAAATTAACCAGTAGGGCCTGGACAGATGGCTCAGTGGTTAACTGCACTTATGATTCACACAGGTGCCAGGGTTGGTCCATAATACCAACATCAGTTCACTCAACCACCTGCCACTCTGGTTCCAGGGAATTTGATGCCCTCTTCTGGCCTCCATGGGCACTGCATGCATGTGGCACACACACATACGTATAAATTAAAAATAAGTAATTTCTTTATGACAGCCTTCACTATGTAGCTTAGGCTGGCTCTGAACTTGATTGTCCTATCTTAGCATCCTGAACACTGAAATTAAAACTGTGTCACCACACCCTGCCCTGTGGTGTTTGTGGCTGTCAGCCAGGCTTCAGAAGCAAAGGATCAGACTGAGTGCCTTCAACAACAGAAATCACTGTTAGAGGAGTTCTTGCAGCTGGTTTGATTCTGGAGCATTAGCACTTAACTTTGATCTGCTTTCTGTGACCAGCTACCTTCGGGCTCCCAATCCTTCTGTTTGAAGTGTGTAAATCTTATCTGAGTTTCCTAAAGGTTCAAAGCCTATGCAAACTTGGTTGTGGGAGGACTGGGAAAGCCAGCTGTCTCTGAACTGAAAATTTGCATCGGCATTGTCTCTTTGGGGAGCTTAGATAAGAGGTTTTGGTATCTGGAATTGACTTGCTAGAGCTGTGAATTGTATAAAAATAAAAAGGTCCTTTGCAAATCGATAGTGGGTAGCTGCCATAGGCTACAGGCTAATCCCCCTGCAGTTGGAAAGCCTAAAAAATCATCCTTACAGTGCCTGCTGTCTTCTTTCCACAGAGTAAACCCTGAGTAAACCCTTACCTGATACAACAGGAGGTTCAGAATAAAGGTGACCAAAGCCCTTCCCACACTCCTCACACTTAACAGAATTGGGACACACTATACTGTGCCAGCTGGGACAACTGGGGACATTTAAATAGGCTGTTTAGGTTGTATAGTGCTGTGCATCGACATCAGACTTGATTGAATATTACACTACAGCTGCTTAAGGAAAACACATTTAGTCTCTGACGTAAGAGATGAGACACTTGAAAAGGTGTATGCGTAGGTGTCAGCATTTGAGTGGGCACAAATTCACATATTTAGAGAGAATAGTGACTCGATAATTTAACAACTGGTGAGTCTAGGTTAAGGGTATAAAACTATAATTTTTATAGTTTTTCTAAAAGTTAATGTACATATATGATTAAAATCTCACTAGATAACTAAGCCTATACATCTGTATCTTTAAAATTTTTTTATAGATCGAACATGCACATGTGTGTGCATGCGTGTCTGTGTGTCTGTGTGTGCACGTGTGCCTGAGGCCAGAAGCACTGGAACCTCTAGAGCTGGAGTTACAATTGGTTGTGAGCCACCAGATGTGGGTACAGGTAACAAAACTCGTGTTCTCTGAAACAGGAGCACATACTCTTTAAGTCTCTCCAGCCCCACATCTGTAGTGTGTGTGTGTGTGTGTGTGTGTGTGTGTGTGTGTGTGTGTTGTATATAATATGTTTTCATACATGAGTAGGTATGTATGCCCATGTGCATGTGTTTGGAGGCTGGAGGATGACTTAGGTGTCTTACTCCCTGTTGCCTAGAGACATGGTCTCTCCTAGGCTGTCAGCAAGTCCCAACAATCTTCCTGCCTCCACTTCCCACAGCACTGGGATCACAGACCTCCACATGGCCATACCCAGCTCTTTACATGGATACTGGGGATTCAAACTCAGATTCCCATGTTCGTCCGGCAAGCTCTATTACCCACTGAGCCATCTTCTCTAGCCCCATTTATTTCTCTAAAAACATACATCTAACTTTCACATTCTATGGTTTTCCAGGTTAATACATTCTGAGCAACTTTCACACCTTTATGCTTTAGTAAAAATAGTGCCCACTGTTAAGTATAGAGGGCTAAGTCAGCATTTGGCAAGGATCGGGTCACCAGGTACCTTTTGGCACACGGTCCACTGAAAAATGATTGCTGACATTCATAGTCTTGCCAAGAGGGCCACTGCCTGTATTTCTTCCTTACAATGAGTTCTAGGTGTTACTCTGGCATATTATGGTTTTAAAGGTGTTGCTGCAGGATGTCTTCCTGTATGCTGTGAATGTGTGTTGCTATGATTGGTTAATAAAGAAGCTGCTCTGGCCTATGGCGAGTCAGGTTATGGCCAGGCAGGAAATCCAAGAGAGAGAGAGACAGGAAGAAGAAAGGCAGAGGCGGAAGAGATGCCTAGCCGCTGCCCAAGGAGAAGCAAGATGCCAGCAGGCTGGTAACGCCATGGTCATGTGGCAAAACAGATCAATAGAAATGGGTTATGATGAAAAAGCTAGCCAGCAAGAAGCCTGCTACAGGCCAGTTTGTAAATAATATTAAGACTCTAAATGATTATTTTATAAGCGGCTGAGGGACCATGGGGCTGGGGAGGACTGGAGAAACCTTCCAGCTACAAGATGTGTTAGATCTTGAATCCAGCCGGAGAAGCCTGTTCCCACATGTAATGGTTTTATAGGCTTAGCACTGGGATAGACTCTTGGAAAACTTGAAGATGGACATTTCGTGTATCATGCTTTGGAGCCACGGCTGGCCACAAACCTATCATCTTCCAGTCTCGGCCTCCTGAACGCTGGGTTCGTGAGCATGTGCCACCACACCCACCGCTACTTTCTTTGGGTATGGATTTTCTCATGGTATCGAAGGCGGGAAGCGTAATCAAAGCCTTTCCCACAGATATCACACTTGTACGGTTTTTCTCCAGTATGAACACTCCGGTGAACTTGAAGACGTGAGCTCTGACTGAAGCCCTTCCCACACTCCTCACACTTAAAGAGCTTCTCCCTGGTATGAATAGTCAGATGGACTCGAAGCTTGGAGGGGAAGCCGAAGGCCTTTCCACACTCCTCACATTTGTGAGGTCTGTCTCCCGTGTGGACCCTCTGATGGTGATAGAGGTCCAGGCTCCTGCCAAAGCATTTCCCACACTCCTGACATCTGTAAGGTTTCTCTCCACTGTGGCATCTCTGATGGAGAATAAACTGGGAACTGTATATAAAGCCTTTCCCACACACATCACACTTGTATGGCTTCTTCCCCGTGTGGACTCTATGATGGTAATGGAGGCCAGAGGAGCGACTGAATCCTTTCCCACAGATATCACACTTGTATGGTTTCTCTCCAGTGTGAACTCTCTGGTGAGCTTGAAGGCGTGAGCGCTGACTGAAGCCCTTCCCACACTCCTCACATTTGAAGAGCTTCTCCTTTACATGACTACGCAGATGGACTCGAAGGTTGGAGGGCAGACTGAAGGCCTTCCCACACTCCTCACATTTGTGAGGTTTCTCTCCCGTGTGGACCCTCTGATGGTGGCGAAGGTCCATGCTCCTGCCAAAGCATTTCCCACACTCCTTGCATCTGTAAGGTTTCTCTCCAGTGTGGCCTCTCTGATGGTAGATAAACTGGGAACTGTACCTAAAACTCTTTCCGCACACATCACACTTGTATGGCTTCTCCCCAGTGTGGACTCTCTGATGGGAATGGAGGCCAAAAGCCTGCTTGAATCCTTTCCCACAGATATCACATCTGTATGGTTTTTCTCCAGTGTGGACCTGCTGACGTACCTGACAATCAATGGACTGACTCAAGCTCTTGTCACACTCTCCACACGTGTAGGGTTTCTCCTCTGAGGGGACTCTCTGGTCAGCATGAAGGTCTGACCTCCCGCTGAGGCTCTTCCCGCACGCCTGACATTTATACGGTTTCTCTCTGGTGTGTGCTGCTTGGTGTCGTGCAAAATTTGACCTATAGCAGAAGCTCTTCCCACACACTTTACAGCTGTATGGTTTCTCTCCAGCATGGACTCTCTGGTGAATGCGAAGCCTCGAGGACTGAGTGTAGCCCTTCCCACATGTTTCGCATTTGAACTGCTTCTCTTTGGCATGGGTGTTCTGAGGGGCTCGAAGGTTGGAAGCCTGCCTGCAGCCTTCCCCGCATTCCTTACACGTACAGGGCTTCTCTCCTGTGTGAACGCGTAAATGGATGTGGAGATCTGTATTTCGGGAAAACCCTTTCCCGCATGCCTTACATTTATATGGTTTCTCTCTAGTGCGGACTCTCGGATGGCATGTTAACAGAGAGTTGTGGCTGGAACCCTGGCCGCACACATCACGCCTGTGTGGCTCCTCACCAGTGCGCACCCTCTGCTGGCACTGGAAATCTGAGCTCTGACTAGAACACTTGCCACACTCCTCACATTCGTGAGGTTTCTCTCCCGTGTGAGTGCTGTTGTGAATGATGGGACCCTGGCTGCCGCTGAACCTCTTCCCACAACTGTCCCATCTGTGGGACTTTCCGTCTGTGGGACTGGTCTGAGGAGAACGAGAGGGGCTCTTGCTGAAGTGATCACTAGATGGGTGGTGTTTCTCTAGCTCCTCTCCTGCGTGTGAGCACGGACTACCGCAGCGCTCTGCTGGGGACACAGTCTGGTGAACGGGAAGCCCTGAGGCACACTCACTCTGCAGACATGGTCTCCCTCCTAAGGACAGTCCCTGATTAACACCGTCATTAGTCCGTCTGTCACGGTCATCACATCTGTGGGGTTTCTGTTCTTTGTTGGTTTTAAGCGGCTCACAAAGCGAAGACTTGCTCATCAAATCTGTATGCACACGCAAGTCACGTTTCACACAGACCGGCTTATTCCCACTCTGGTTCTGTGCTCCCTGTAGGCACCGCTTTTGGCAATAATTCTGAGTTCCTGAGACTGAAAAGTCTTCTTGTTCAAGGCACCTGCAGCCATCTCCCCTGTGATTCTTTGTGTTGCTCCCACTGTCAGAAACCTGAATGGGATAGTGTCGCAGTATTTGAGAACGCTTCCTCTGAAGATACCGGGTCGATTTCTGGGCAGCCTGTTTCCAGATGTGCCAGCAAGACACCTCTTCCTGGGGAAGATGCTTCGGTGCGAGTCTCCCAAGAGTCGCCGACTCCTGCGGACTGCTGCCGTCTGTAAGAGAGCAGGTGGGAGAGATGAGGACGGGTGATGGGAGGACTCGGTACCCAGGGCATGGGAGAGATGGCGCGAGCCAGGGCCGTCCTTACAATGAAACGTGTCATTTCCTCATGTTTTCATGGCGGGGAAAGCAAGGACGGGATCGAAGGCTCCCGCGTGTACGCTGCGCCCCATTTACAGACACATGTCTGACGTGTGACATGATCGCTGCAAGGGCTGGAGAGATGGTCCGGTGGCGGAGAGCACCTGCTCATCTCCAGAGGAACCGAGTTTGCATGCCAGCACCCACACTGAGGGACTCACAACTCTCTGCAACTCCAGCTTCAGGGACGCTAGCTCCACGGGCGGCCACATCCGCACGGCATACAAACACAAACACTTTTTAAAATTTGAAAATGAAAACGAAAACAGGAGCGCTATGGGCACAAAGACTACCCTTGCATCCACACTCGACCGCACAATGACAGGAATTAAGAGCATATTCACCCTTTTTCCCCAGTACTTAGGCGAATGGGACTCTATCCAAATTTTAGTCAGAAAAGCTTCAAACTTTGTTAGGCCAGTGGGCAGGAGTAAGAACGAGGATGGACTGCGGACCAGACCCGAGAGACCAGTAGCATGGGTTCTCACCAGGATACCTACTTCTCTGGACTTCTGTTTCCTTTAGCCAAAGCCTTTCTTCTGCTTCCAGTAGGGATACCATATCTGCTTTGAGGGGAAAGCACCCTAAGAAAAGACAAGACACATATATTAAAGGCGAACACAAAATTAGAGCAATTTCTGTCTAAATTACACAATCCTCAGGACCTGTGAGGTGAATTTTAGAAATGTTTTATCACAAAGTGTGCTGATAAATAAAGGGCTGGGCAGGCAGCTCAGTGGCCAATTGCACTGGCCACACACAGGCCAGGACTGAGACTGGATCCCAGCACCCATGGGAACAAGTCAGGCATGGTCTCCTGACTGCACACAGTAACTCTGGTGCTTTGGGGGTGGATAGCAGGACCACTGGGCGTGCTGGCTGCCAGCCACAGGTATGGGAAATAAGGCACAGAGTGGTAACAAAGGATGCCTGGTGACCTCCACGTGCACAGAGCACACGCAGGCACTCATACACACAATGATTTGAAAGAAGTTTCAAAAGTAAGTTAAAAGAAATCAAGGCCATGGCTATGTATGTATAACAGATTCTGTTTCATCAATTGTAACTGTCTCTTATATCCCTCACCAGAAACCATCAGGCTTTGCTGCACCAGGTCCTCCAAAACAGATTTTGACATCCTATCGTCATCTATTCTATGGCAAAGAAAACACTACGCCAGGCAGTGGTGGCACACACCTTTAATCCCAGCACTCAGGAGGCAGAGGCAGGGGGATCTCTGAGTTCAAGGCCAGTCTGGGCTACAGAGCAAGTTCCAGGACAGCCAGAGCTACACAGAGAAACCCTGACTCTGAGGAGAAAAAGAAAATACTACTATACTGTACCATGGTTGTTTCTTCACCTACTAATAGGTCACAGGCATAATTAGAAAAACAAAGTACAGGGCTGGGATGTGGCTCAGTGGTAGAGCCCCTGCCTAGAATCCCCCAGTGAGGGGCTGGGGTGTGGCTCAGTGGTAGAGCCCCTGCCTAGAATCCCCCAGTGAGGGGCTGTGGTGTGGCTCAGTGGTGGAGCCCCTGCCTAGAATCCCCCAGTGAGGGGCTGGGGGTGTGGCTCAGTGGTGGAGCCTCTGCCTAAAATCCCCCAGGGGCTGGGGATGTCAATCAGTGGGACTGCTCTTGCCTAGAATCCACCAGAAAGCTGGGAGTGTGGCTCGGCAGCAGACTCCTGCCTAACATACACAAGGCCCTGGATTCTAGTCTCAGCAAAATCGAAAGCACTGAAGTTAAGCTGTCCATTTGTGGTTCATAAGAAACAGGGTTTCTCCCCGGCAGCATATGGACACTCTGGATGGTAGATCATCCTGCTGTGGGACCTAGCTGTCCCTGGCTACTAACTACTGAATGTTGGTAGCACCCATCCCTGAATTGTAAGAAATACGTCCAGACATGGCCAAATGTTCTCAATAGAAAAATCACCCCTAGCTAACAATCAATGGTTTAAAGAGATTTTGGCTAAGCAGAAAAGTCAGCAAAATTCCTGTTGTCCCAAAGAATCCTTTCAAATGGTCCAGAGCCTTGAGCATCTGAGGACAGGGAGTCTCCGGTGTCCCAGGAGACTCATCCTCACCCACAGCAACCAGGTTCTTGAAGTTCTCCAGCATCATGTCTTGGTACAGCTGCCTCTGTGTGAGGTCCAGCAGCCCCAGCTCTTCGGTAGTAAACACCAATGCCACATCCTTGAATGTCACTGCCTCCTGTGACATCAAACACAAGTAACCTCAAGTCAGCTCCCAGGGGAGAGGAGCAGCAGTGCGGACACGGTCACGCGGGTGCCTCGGTCACGCGGGTGCCTCGGTCACGCCGGTGCTGCACACTCAGAGGGGTCCAAGCAGACTGACCACCAATAGTTGTTCTGCATTCACACAACGCCCCAACAATATCCCAAACTCTGACTCCCTCCTCCCTCTGCCTCCCCTCTCCCTCTCTCTGTGCATTTTCTTTCTTGAGGGGGAGGTGAGAAAGGGTCTCAGACAGCCCAGGCTGTACTCAAACTCAGTATCACAGAAGATAACCCTGAACCTCTGCTCTTCCTGGCTTCACTCCCACCGTGCTAGAACCTGGACCACATACACCAGGCCTTGTTTTTATTTTGGCCGTGCACACCAGGCCTGGGTTACACAGTGCTAGAGATCAAAGCCAGGGCTTTAGGGATACTAAGCGAGCGCTCTATCCAGCTCCAGCCCCACAAACAGCTACTTCATAACCAAAATAACAGGTTATTTTTGACAGCAATTTTGTAAATTAGTAACAAATGATAACACACACACACACACAGCATACACACACACACATACACACACACAGAGCATACACAGACACACACACATCATACACACACACACACACACACACACACACACACACAGAGCACCTAACTCATACTCAAAGATCTGCTGTTTTCTACCAATACCACACACCACCACCCCAAAAAGACACAATGACATATAAAATTACTGAGAAATGCCTGACCTGAAATATGGCCATTTTCTCTTGTTCCTTTGGAGGAAGGTCACTGTCCTGAGAAGGCATAACTAAGGAAAGATAAAGAAGCCATGAAACAAATGTCAGAACTGCCATTAGCCCAGGTGAAACACTGTCCCCTACTTCCAGACACATGCCACCACATACAGCTTGGAAATCAGAAGCACACACCCGGACTTCAGCTACTAAACCTATACAACCAACTTCAGTATTCCTACCATAGAGTTTCAGACTCTGAAAATGGTGGGATATGAGAGCCAGGAAAACAATATACAGGCAAAGAATGAATGAATGAAAGTTAGGAAGGAAGAGAAGAAAAGTAGGCTCCGAATGCCTGGTTCAATTTCTGGAAGTAATACTTACTATCCCAGCACAGGGAATGTTAGAAAACCTTTGTGCCTCACTTTTACCATATGCGTAATTTCTGCCTACCTCATAGGGTACCTCAGAGGACTAAATGAGTAGATGGAAAGTAATAAGAATAGGGGATTGAAGTGTCAGTCTATTTAGTCTTATTAAATAAAAACCCATAGTCAGATATCGAAGGTGAAAGCTGAAAGATCAGAGAAACAGAGTAGCCACAGTCATTTAGAGACTTCTTACCTCTACAAAATCTCAGACTGAATGCAGCCAAGATCATGTCTCTATGAATCCTCAGACTGAATGGGGCCAAGATTCTGTCTCCAACCTCCTTAGTGCTGGGATCAAAGGCTTGAGCCTCCCAAGTGCTGGGATCAAAGGCGTGCACCACCACCACCCAGCTCTGTTTCTCTTTTAGACTGGTTCAATCTCATGTAGCCCAGGGTGGCCTTGAACTCCTGATTTTCCTGCTTCTTTCTCCTAAGTGCTGGGATTGAAGGTGTATGCCACCATGGCCTGGCCTCTCTAGTTAACGAGTGGCTAGCTCCACTCTCTGATCTCCAGACAAGCTTTATTTGTCAGAACACAAACAAAATATCATAATAGGGGATAGAGACTTGACTTAGTGATTGCAAAGGACCTAGGTTTGATTCCCAGCACCTACACAGTAGTTCACAACTGTCTGCAATTCTAGTCCAAGGGGATCCAACACTTTCTGTTGGCCTCTGTGAGTACCAGGCACTCATGCAGTATACACATATAGATTCAGACAAAGCACTTACACACATAAAACAAAACAATAAGATAGATAAATCTAAAGTGTTTTTAAAGACTAGGAAATCCCTTTTCTAGGAGAAAAAAAGAAGATATTTTACAACATAAACTATATATGGTAACGCTGTGCTCCTGTGAAAGTCACCTTTAATTTCTAAAGAGCCTAATTCTGACTGGAAATATCTTAACTAAATATTTTTGCCCCCAAAGTAATATTTTGTTGACACTGGTATCTAAAAGGCATCATTGGATTAGCTGAACAAAAATGAAGAAAATAGGTATAAACCTAAAAAAAACAAGGTTGCAAGAGGTTATGGGAAAACAACATGCATCTCTTATTACCTTCGGTGTCTTGTTTTGTTGGAGACAGGGTCTCACTATCCTGGCTGGCCTGGGACTAGCTATGCAGACCAAGCAGTCCATGAAGTCACAAAAATCCACCTGCTTCTGCCTCCCCGGTGCTGTGACTAAAGGCGTGTTCCATGACATTGGGCCACTAAAAAAAAAAAAAAAAAAAGCTCAGGAAATGCAATGACAGAGTATGACTATGGGTCTGATCAAAGTCAGGCCTGCCACCCAAGCCCCTAAGACACAACTTAAAATGGGAAGTTGGGGACTTTGCTCAGTGGTAGACCGATTTGCCTCCCAAGCCCAAGGCCTTAGATTCAGGTCCCACCACCAGTTTAAAACGACATTGTCAAATTTTAGGTATTTTTGTATTCTCTGTGTTTCTCAGAATGAGAATACATGCTGATTCTGCTTTATATATTTTGCTTTATATTTATATTATATAAATAACAACCCCCCTTTTTCAGGTGTGTGTGATGTGCATGTGTACGCATATTTTTGCATTTGTGTATAGTAGGAATCTAACAGAGTCACTGTATTTAGGGTAAACATTAGAATGTAATAAGCCAGGCGGTGGTGGCGCACGCCTTTAATCCCAGCACTTGGGAGAGAGAGGCAGGAGGATCTCAGTGAGTTCCAGGCCAGCCTGGTCTACAGAGTGAGTTCCAGGACAGCCAAGACTGGAACCCTGAGAAACCAAAAGTAATAGTTGTTTCTCACTGTATCTAGGGTAACAGTAGAATGTATAGAGGTACTAAGACCTTGAGGAAATTATTGTAGAGCACAGTGATTGTTTTCTGTGATTTATAGAGTTGATTTTCTGAGGGAGGTTTCGATCTAGGCACAGTTGGAGGTCTTGGATTATTGGGTTCTGCAAACAGCTGCAGGGTGTGATGATTTCCTTCAGAGAACACAGCATAGATCAAGAGGGCTTTGGTATGAGGAACTTCTTGTATCCCACACATAACCTTTGTGTGCAATCAATAAATACGCTTCTGAACGGAGGTTTGAGGTTCAATTCACAGAAACTGTTCCTCCCAGCTGCCAGAGAGTCTAAAATTACATTCTGGGGTGACCCTCCTTCTCGGAACATCCCACACAACACAGAATGCCAGAAATGTCTGTGGGCAACCATGCATGTGGAAGCCTGAGGCTGGAGTCAGGAATCACCCTTCCTTTCCCATCGCATTCATTCATTGACAGGTAGGGTCTCTCAGCCAAACTCAGAGCTCACTGATTAGGGCAGTCTTGCTAGGCAGTTTGCTCTAGGAATTCCATCTTGGCTGCCTAAGGCTAAGCTCTCACCTGACGTTTACATGGGTTTCTGGGGATCCAAACTCCGTTCCTGGATCGCTTTAACCCTGGAGCCACCTCCCTAGCCCAAGATATCGATTTCTATAAGAATGACACAGACAACATAAATCCAAACCGACTGAGGGCAACTAAAAGTACAAAGCTAAGGCATGAAAGGTGAACAAGAGGAGGCAATGCAGGACCTGGTAAGTTAAAAACACATATACATGTATACAGAAAGAGATGTGTGTAATATACAAAGGGGAGGTTACTTTCCTAATCATTCAATTTAAGAAGTGGCTTTGTACTTGAACTCAAGCAATACTAATATAAATACATATCAACAAGTAGACTGACCACAAAACAAAAACAAAAACAAAAACAAAACACCCTGTATTCTTTCTAACTACACAAGGCACTACTAAACGCTGAGTGGAGACTCTCACCTGTAATCCCAACACTTGGGAGTTGGAGGCAGAAAGATCAGGAGTAAGAGGTCATCCTTGGGGGCACAGTGAGTTTGAGGCCACCCTGAGCTACGTAAGACCCTCTCAAAAAAAAAAAGGGGGGGGGGGCTGGAGAGATGCCTCAACCGTTAAGAGCACTCGCAGATCTTCTAGAAGGGCAGAGTTCGGCTCCCAGCACCCAGGTCAGGCCACCCACAATCGCTTCAACCCGTGCTCCAGGGGAACTGATGGCCCGCCCTACCAGCCTCCCCAGGCACACGTGCTCATTCACTCATTCATTCTCTCATTCTCCTCTCTGTCTCTGTCTCTGTCTCTGTCTCTGTCTCTCTCTCTCTCTCACACACACACACACACACACACACACACACACACACACACGCAATTTTTTTTTTAAACAGGTAAAAGGCGATCATGTTTCTGGTGGCCAATTTTCGGGGTCAAGGGAGCCCAGTGAACTCAAGGCACACCCCAACAGGAAAGAGCCTTTGGCGCGGTACCTGGGGCTGACAGCTGTCCAGGTCCCGCCTTCCTGCCGTCCCCTGGGAACGCCTTAGGGAAAAGCGCGGGGAAGTGAGGGAAGGGGCCGGGCAGTCTCCCAAAGCCAGGGCTGGCTCTCGTCACGGGCTCTCGGGGAGAAGGACGCCCGGGGACAGGGCCGGGCCCGCCCTCAGCAGCAGATCCTAAGCGCGCCACGACCTAACCACCGCCACCCTCCGACTCAATCAACGGAGACCACAGGAGCGGCGGAGAGGCGGGGATGGGAACGGCACTTCCGGTCCCCTCACTTCCGGCCTCCGGGAGCGGCCGTCTCGAAGGCTCCAAAGACTGGAACAAGGGCTGAGGCGGATGCCCGGACAGACTGATCGGAAAGAGGGTCTTGGAATACACTTCCCAGAACTCGCCCACTGCAGGAAGGACCGAGTCGTGACCCGTGGGAGCTTCCGGACTACAACTTCCAGAAGCCCCTTCATCTTCCGGTCACTTTATGCGCCTCACAAGGGAAGATTGTAGACCCTTGGGATGAGTGTTGATCATTCCCTCAAATACTAGGTAGTTTGCCTTGTTTGGGGGGGGGAGGGGGCTGTGACAAAATACCCGACAGAAACAACTTTAGGAAAGCTTTTTGGGGGATATCACGGCTTGGCAGGCGTGCTGGGAACAGCTGTTTGTCCAAGAAGCAGAGGGAAGCCAGAACAGAAGCGAAGGTCTGCCCTCGAGGCCCCGCTTCCAACGTTTCAGGAACTTGGGGTCAGATGTTTAATACATGATTCAGGGGTCATTTGCCGTCTAGTCCATACTGTGCCAAACAAGAACCCATGGTACAGTATGGAGCATCTTGTTACTGCCAGGCGAACAAAATTCGCCGTCAGCCTGTACTGTCAGAAAGGATAATTGACTGTAGAAAGCACAGTGCAAACAAAACGTAAGACAAAGTCCCAGAAGACAGGACCCATCTGGGGAGGACAGATACTAACCCTAAGACAATATCAAGTCGATCCTGCAGGTGGCAGTACTGAGTGGCTTTCGGTTTTGTCTGCTTTTGTCTGCACCGGGGATTGGACCCTGGACCTGTGCAGGATAGTGAAGTATTCTAACACAGCTAACCACAAAGCGGGTTTTTATATTCTGGCTGTTCCCTAGTTTTAAAGGCTGTTAGGGTTCCTGTCCCAAACAGAAACTTCCATCTCAACAGTTTCAAAAGTAAATTTCCCCCGTTCACTAAAATATATCCAGTATTCAGCACTAGGTTTATGCCAATTCAGCAGCACTTTTCCTTTATAATGAACACTTCCAAAAGGCCCTGGTACTTCACCCTTCCCAAAGTTCTTGTGACACTTCAAAAAGATCATGGTTGCAACCAAAGCCTTCTTAGGATAATTAACGGAATGCCCAGAAACACCGGGATGTGAGGAGCAGGAACACTAACCTGAATGAAACAGTTACACTTTCTTTTGAAAAAAAAAAATGATTAAAAGAATTCACACAATAGTTATACTTTCTTTTGAAAAATGGTTAAAAGAACTCACACAACAGGCCAGTGAGATGGTCCAGTGGGCAAAGATGCTTGCCACCACACCTGACATCCTGAGTGATCCCTGGTTCCCCAGACTGTGGAAAGAGGGAGCTGGCTCCTGAAAGACGTGCTCTACTCTCCACACATAATGCTATGGCATGCTCCACTGGTATGTGTGTGTCCCCAAACACACTACACTGTTTTTGACATTAAGTTTTACTTTGTGTGCATGAACTCTTTGCCTCCATACATGTTGGATCCTTTGCAAGAGCAACAAGTGCTCTTCACTACTGAGCCGCCTCCAAACCCACACTGAACTATTTTAAAATGGAATGCAAAGCCACAAAGAATGCACAGGATACAAGTCCTTTAAAACATTATTTTATAGACCGTTTTCCCTGACCGGATTCCCTGATGTTTTTGCCATCTCTGGTGCTCTTGGAAGACCTATCACTGCTGTGGATTTTGTGATGAATTAGAAGATTTGACCGCCAACCAAAGCTCTTACCACAAACCTCACACTTGTAAGGTTTCTCCCCTGTGTGAACTCTCTGATGAGACTGTAGTTGGGAAGAGCGGCTGAAGACTTTCCCACACACATCACATTTGTACGGCTTCTCTCCAGTGTGGACTCGAAGATGGACTTGAAGATTGGAATTCAGGGTATAGCCTTTACCACACACAGTACATACGTATGATTTCTCTCCGGTGTGTATGCCCTGATGGGCCTGAAGACTTGAAGGTCGACTAAATTCTTTCCCACAGTCCACACACTTATAGGGTTTTTCTCCCGTGTGGACTCTCTGATGAATGTAAAGATTGGAGCTACAGATGAAGCTCTTCCCGCACTCCTCACATTTGTATGGTTTCTCTCCTGTGTGTACTCTCTGATGGGACCGAAGATGTGAATTCCGACTGAAACTCTTGCCGCATTCGTCACATTTGAATGGTTTCTCCCCAGTGTGGAGTCTCTGATGGTCCTGAAGATGAGAGGCCTGACTGAAGGCGCTCCCACACGCCTCACAAGCATACGGTCTCTCCCTGGTGTGGACTTTGAAGTGAACATTAAGTGCTGATCTACAACGGAAAAATTTTCCGCATCGCTCACATTCGTATGGTTTCACTGTTGTATGGACCTTCTGATGGCTGTGTGGATGTGGATTATGACTGGCCCCCTGATGTCTTTCGCCCATGCGATCTCCTTGACAAACACAACCATCTGTGCTATTATGGATGCCTTTCTCACATTCAACCCATGTGCAAGACCTCTCTCCTGGGTGTGATGGCTGGTGAGGGTCACAGCTGGAGACATCACTCACAGCCTCTTTAGACCGGTCATTTTTCTGTCCAGTGTGAATCACTCTATTCTGGTCAGATGGTGCCATCTTTATGCACTCTCTCCCATAACTACTGGGGCTGTTAGAATCTTTACTTTTGTGTACTCTGTGGTCATCTTGGGAATGTGAAATCCTACCTGCAGAGTCAACACCCAGTTTACTCCGACCCCGTTCACTTCTGGTGGAAATCTGTTGATATCCATTCTTAGGACTCTGTGGCTCACTCAGGAAAATTTTCTGCCAAGAACCCTGGGTTCTCAACATTGGAAGTGGGAGTCTTCCGGTACCAATGGGCACCTTTAATTTATGACTCTGTACATAGTTCTCATCTTCAGAAATGTGAGCAGATAACCCTGGCCCGACCTGGCAGGGAGAATCACCCTGTAACTGAGTAGTATTTACCATGGAGTCTTGACACCTGGTTAAGTTGTCTATGACCCGCTGCCAGATTTGCCAGCAGGAAAGGGCTTCATGTGACCCTCCATCTTGGACAGCCCTTAACTCACTCTGATTGTTAATTCCTATAAAGACAGGGAATAAGACAAGTGAAAACTGTTCAGACTTCAGGATTCACACTTAGGTCACAACACTAGACTTCAATGCAACTCAAGATGATTCTTCAGCATATCTTTTTTTATCATTAATGAAGTTTTCTGGTTTAAATACTGACAGAAACCAAGATATCATCTACTGAGCTCCCAACTATTAAAAACCAAGGCTGGAGAGATGGCTCACCAGTTAAGAGCACTGGCCGCTCTTCTAAAGGACCCAGGTTCATTCACAGCAGCTCACAACTGTCTGTAACTCCAGTTGCAGGAGATCTGACACCCTCTTCTAGCCTCCATGGGTACCAGGCATACATGTGGTGTACATAAATATATGCAGACAAAACACCCATACAGAAAAAATAATTTAAATTTTAAAAAAAGAGAGAACTAATAAAAGCCATTTAAAATCAATTACTGACATACTCTCTGAATTTTTTTTTCTTTTTAAAATTATGTTTCTTTCCTACCACTTGACAGTGTCAACAGGAAGGAACATTTTATGGTGCTTGGTTTTCTAGCCACTACCCAGAACCCTGCCTGGCATGTGTTCCAGCAAAGTACATAGAGGTCACTTCTCAGTTCACGCTGACTCCAAATCCAAGTCACAGAAGCAAGAGCGTTTTAAAGTACATGCACGAAAGAGATCTGGACCGAAGTGCTGCTGAGAAATGCAAAGCCGTGTCTGAGGCAGGGGCACGGGGTGGGAGTAGGTCAGTGCTGAGGATAGAATCAAAGGCTGAAGGAAACGCCCGAAGCAAAAGGAGGCGCGAAGATATGCCCCAGAGCTCTGAGGCATCTGCTTTCACCTGAGTTAAGAGTCAGAATTCAGAGGCAATGAAGGCTATTGTCATTGTGAAAACAAGGAAGCCAGTATTTCGGAGTCAGCCAAGTGTGGTGGTACACTTTTGATCCCTGGCACACGGGAGGCAAAGGCAGACAGACCCCTGCAAGTCTGAGGTCAGCCTGGTCTACAGAGTGAGTTCCAGCCAACCAGGGCCATAAAGTGAGTCCCTGTTCTCAAACCAAAGTCTTCCAACTTGATAAATGTAGTATATCAGTGAATTAGAAACTAAAATAGCGGCCGGGCGGTGGTGGCGCATGCTTTTAATCCCAGCACTCGGGAGGCAGAGGCAGGTGGATCTTTGTGAGTTCAAGGCCAGCCTGGTCTACAAAGCGAGATCCAGGAAAGGCGAAAAGCTACACAGAGAAACCCTGTCTCGAAAAACAAAAAAACAAAAAAAAAACAAAACAAAAAAAAACAGCTTGTGATAAACATTTAGAGGAAATAGGTGACAGACTACCAGAAAACCACCACAAGCAGTAACAGCATCACTACGTCTACTGAATATATTATATATATTACATATATATAATACATAATATAATATATATGTAATAGATTACATATATTATTATATACATAATAATGTATACAATTTCCCCCATATGTTTGTTGGGCTAACAATGGAATATTAATTTCTTACTGTTGATGTGAACTTTGGAAGAAACTAATGGAATGCAGCTGGGCAAATCTTTTAAAGGTGAGGGTCACTCTGGCTACTTTCTTAGACTCCCTTCTCTGATATAAGGAATAAGGAGACAGACTTACTCTTCCTACAGATAAATCATAAGAATTCTCATGGGAAACATTTCCCGGATGACAACTTGGTGGTGGAGTACCTGTCTAGCATGTACGAGGCCCGAGGTTTGACCCCAGAGCTGAGGGTGGGAGTGGTGAAAACCATATTTAAACGTGATTTCCTATAACTGCTCACACCACGTCACAGAGAAATCTTACTCAGCCTGGTCATCGCCACAGAACTACAGGTTTTTTAAGACTGCGTGAGTCAACCTGTACAAAGCCACACTCCAGAGAAGTCAGAACGAGGCTTGGGATTATTGTGAAGACAGATCCACAAGACTGTCGCAGTGACCCAGGAAGGAGGTTGGACGTTTGAGCAGCATGACAGGATTAATAGGACAGTGAGCCGCAGGTCCCACGGCTGAGCCACGTAAGACTGCGCCTGAACGTCTCCCCTCTGGGTTGCCCTATTCATTAGAGGCTTCACTTCCCTTTCCACGGGTGACTTATCTCATTTGAGAAGTTGATGCTCTGAGAACACGCAAAATCACAGATGTAAAGGGGCACGCTAGAGCGGAAATGCACTGGAGACTTCGGTTGCAACCAAATCGTCATCGATACCATGAAAATAGTGTGTTTCAAACTTACAACAGTCCAGTGAAGAAATACCACTTATTTTGTGACCCTCCCACCATAAACATATACTGCAAAAACGAAGTTTGACCTACCTCAGCTCCCATCTGCAGTTACCAACTCTCTCTTACACCTAGAGAGCTGCACATAGCCAGCTTTCCCTACAACGTGCATTATTTTCACTAAGGAAGGCTGGTGTTTTCTACTACTTCATTAATTTCCAGTACAGGTGCTGGACAGATGGCCCAGTGGTTAAGACCACTTGCTGCTCTTCCAAAGGACCAGATTTCAGTTTCCAGCACCCACAACTGCCTAACTCCAGCCCCAGGGGATCCAATGCCCCCTTTTCTGACCTCTGAGGACTCCCACACCAAAGTCTCTCTCTCTCTCTCTCTCTCTCTCACTCTCTCTCTCTCTCTCTCTCTCTCTCTCTCTCTCTCACACACACACACACACACACACACACACAAATATAAATATCTTTTAAAAAATCATCAGTATAGGGGCTGGAGAGATGGGCCAGCAGTTAAGAAGTGCTTGCTGCCTTCCAGAGGACCCCAAGTTCAGTTCCCAGCACCCACATCCTGTGGCTCACAACTACCCATAACTACTGATACCCTCTTCTAGCCTCAGAGGGTACCCACACTCATGTACACACACACAGAACAAATAAGATGTAATAATTTTTAAGAATAATAAAATGGCCGGGTGGTAGTGACGCACGCCTTTAATCCCAGCACTCTGGAGGCAGAGGCAGGTGGATCTCTGTGAGTTTGAGGCCAGCCTGGGCTACAAAGTGAGTTCCAGGAAAGGCGCAAAGCTACACAGAGAAACCCTGTCTCAAAAATATATAAATAAATAAATAATAAAATGTGGGGCTAGAGAGGCAACTTGGTTGTTAAGAGCACTGGCTGGTCTTCCAGAGGACCCAGGTTGAGTTCTCAGCACCCACATGGGAGTTCACAACCATCTGTGACTCCACATCCAAAGGATGTTTTTAAGACAGGAAACATCTCCTCTCTGCTCACAGGAATGAACAAAATCAGGAAACCATTCGAGAGCCCCAAAGCTTCCCAACTCCAAAGTCACAAAAATATGTGCCAGAGAGCATCCATCCTCACCCACTGAGAGCAGGTTCTGAAAATTCTCCACCATCACCTCTTGGTACAGTTTCCTCTGAGCGGGGTCCAGGAGCCTCAACTCCTCCTCACTGAAGGCCACAGCCACATCTTTGAACGTCACCATCTCCTACAACAAGCAAAAG